TCTTTAATGTGTGGCTGTTTGGCTTCCGTCTGTAGTTTTGTATCCAACTGCAGATCTGTCTTTTTAAATTCTTCTTGGATTGTAGTCCGAGTTTGAATTTCGAGTTAGTAGGGATAAGATACACTTATTAAGGATATTAAAAGGGGTGATTAATATGAGGGAAGGTTTAATGTTATTGAGGAAAATATCAAAAAAATATAAGAGTTGATATATTGAAAAAAGAAGATAACTATATTACTATAAACTAGCATTCGATCTGCTGATCTGAATGTGCACGGATTATAATATTAAAAACAGATATAGTATTAAAATTATAAGTTATATAATGATAATATATTTTAAAATTTTAAAATTAGTAAAAATAAACAGTTTAAATCTATTTAGCTGCATATGAAACACCATATTAGTTGGATAAAATGTAATGAATAATGTAATTTTTATAATTTTGAAAAATCATGTGGATAATATATAATGAATAATGTAATTTTTATAATTTTGAGAAATTTTGAAAAAAAATTTAAATTTTTACTATTTAAAGGGTGTGGCTATACATTAGCAACAATTAGTTTACATATAAATAATCACTGAAATAATAAACTATAATATTAATTTTAAACTAAAAAAATGATGAAAAAAAAATTATAGAATTTTTTATATTTTTGTATTTTTTAGTGTAAAATATGGTTGATTAGTTTTTCTTTCTCCTCTATTGGGAGGGAGTTTGTAGTCTGTTTTAGTGTGATGTGGTTTGTTTGTTGTTGGCAAGGAGGATTTAGACTACTTTATGTAGCTCTCTCACCTAGATTCAGCTGATTGACTGGATTCGATTAAGGCGGAGTGTTCGACAATGGCAGAGGAAAAAATTAAAAGGGAAATTTTTTTGAACAGGCCACGGGACCCGTACTAGTGCCGTGGGGATGAACCAAAAAAAGGAGTAGGGATTGGCCTCATGGGATTCCCGAGGTTGGCCCTCCTTCGAAAAATAGGCAAGAAAGATTCAATAAAGACATGTATATCGACAATACAAAGTGACAACCTTTCTCTCCCGAAGTAAAAATTCAGAACACTCTCCGCATACATATTTAGAGAGATAAAGAGACAGGGGAGAGGGGAGTGAGGAGAGGGGGGGTGAGGACTGAGGGGAAGATGAAAATAGAGTTTGTTTTTTTCTTTTTCTGATTTTCAGTCCCATTTATCTGGCTTTATCGAGAGTTATGTTGAAAACCATTCTTAATGCATGCCACATTTTTCTTTTTTAGTATGAATGCAAAATTGGTCATATGATTACGAAGCTATAATTTTGTGTTCACAAGTACGAAGCTATAATTTTGAGTTCACAAGTATTTTATGAAACAATTGTGATTTTCTTTGTTTAATTTACTGGTATTTTTTATATTTGGAATTGTAAGGTACAATTTGCAAATTCAATTGTAAATGAAAGAACATATATGTGATTTTATGTATTTGCTGATTTTAAATTATAATGACTTTTTCAAACAAACACGATAATGGCCCATATTTAATCACATAAATAAAACCTTTAATAAAAAAGAAAAATAATCAAGCTTATTCCATTATTGCAACCAAACATACCCATAATGTATACAATTAGTCCTTTTGTCGAACTAAATAACTGAGCATGATAAAAATAGAATATGTATACAAATAGCCTTGAGCATAATAAAAATAAAATATGTATACAAATAGGCTTTTTGTCTAGCTAGATAATTTTAGTATGATCAAATATAGGATTTTCAAAGAACCGTGAAATTCCAATGACAATTTCAATGCTATTATCTTTGTTAAAATTTTTCAATTTATTCTAATAGAAATTCCAACAAATATATTTTTGATAGAATGAATTTTCTATTGGAATTTTCGTTTGATTTTTTATGATTCCAACGATTGAAATATAAGTGAAAATAAAAATTCTAACGAAAATTGCATATTGCAGTAGAAATTCATATGGTAAAAAAGCGTTGGAGGTTCTAGAATTCAAGCTCTTTATATAACAGAGAAACTGCTAGAGGATTTGCATGCCCTGTGATCAGCAATAACGAGGGGCCTATAAGGCTTGGGCATGCACAATTCATATATGCTCCCCAGTTTATGTTATAAATCTAAAAGATAACCAAATAAACAACAGTGCAAATATAATAATGTCTTAACAAAAGAAAGCAAGAGCAACTTATGCAAAGAACATCCGAATTTCAATTCCAACAAAAGTCACAAATTACACGATATATTTATCCGAATGTGCCAATTTTTTCTTCTTCAACCAGCAGTCTGCAGAGGCCTAGGACAGTAATAATTGCCGACAGAACTATAAGAAATAAAAGCAAAAATAACGAACAAAATACTACCAGAGTACGCATCTCCATCGTAATTTGTACACCCACTTAAGACGTTAAATATATTTCAAAGAATTTCACTCAGAACCAAACCAAACCCTTTCTTCAAAGCTAGACTTTTTCCCAGTGCAAATAATAGACTCACATGGTCAACAGCAATTCCACACTAAGAAGAGCAGCAGCCACTCTTTTGGGCCACCGGTTGTCCACGAATCTGCACTGTTGGTGGCCTAGCAGTGTTTGATGCTGGCTGACTCGCCATCCTATAATTATCAAGGAAAAATAGCAAGTTCAACATAACATTCTCAAAAATAAAAAATAAAGGTTAATAAACAAAATAAACCCTCATTTAAGAATATGTGATGAGGAGGAAGAGTTCTCTTGTATGTGATAAACAAACCTGTTCTTAATGTCAGCGGACATGGCCATGAAAGCCTGTTCAACATTAGTGGCATTCTTGGCACTAGTCTCCATGAAAGGAATGCCGATTTCATCAGCAAAAGCCTTCACAAAAGTGAATTTAATTTGATAAAGATTGAATTTAGATCAGCTTTCTCAGAGACTAATAAAGCACTAGAGAAAGAGGTCCAAACTGGGAAAATTTCTACCTTAGCTGTCTCGTAAGGGACGGCTCTATTTTCGGCAAGGTCACACTTGTTACCTACCAAAAGTTTGTTTACATTCTCACTGGCATAACGATCGATTTCATTCAACCATTGCTTCACATTGTTGAAGCTCTCCATGTCAGTTACATCATATACTATCTGCAGGTAATTCCAAGTTGTACAGCAGTTTTAGGATCACAAAAGCATAAAGTCATAAAGTAGGCTGGAAGGTATAAAATCAAAATGAAAGGCACTAACTATGATTCCATGTGCACCACGATAGTAGCTGCTGGTTATAGTCCTAAATCGTTCTTGTCCAGCAGTATCCCACTGCAAGCCAAAATGGAAAAAGGAACATGTGAACAAAGCTCATTCCACAAAATTTCAGTAACTAAAGCATGGATAGACTTTGGTGGAATTAGGTTGCATCCAATTGCCAGAAATATGTTCAGAAAATATGATGCAGAAAGTATATAGACGAGGAACAAACTTTATGGGATCCATAGCTAGTTTGATGTTAATTTAAACCGCATTAAATGGTAGATGTTACAGAAAAGGACTGAAGTCCTCAAACAGGTTACTGTCAACAATCCCAAAAATCAAAATGCAAATAGAATAACAAACAAGTAGCTACCAAAAGCTATAGCTTTATTTGATTAATATCATAGCCGTTCATACGATTGATTCCACTTGGTTACAATAGAGAAAATAATGACATTAGCAACAATCCAATATGTCATCATCATGTTGTAGTTTATGTCTTTTTATCTAAAATATTATATCCAATGCCACAAATTTTGAGACGGTTGTTAATATTCTCCCTTGATAACTAGATATGTGTTAAAATTAACCCCAGCAAATAACTAGTAAAGAGAGCTGAGAAGGTAAAAACATCATAATAAGCTAGAAAAGTAGATGATCCAAAATGCTCCGTGCTATGCATTGGTAGCAAATGCAAATAAAAACCTTAAACGTCAAATATGTGTCAAGATTTGATTGTGAGGGAGTGGGAGGGTGAGATGCACTTACAATTTGAAGCTTAATGGTCTTCCCATCTTGCTCCACAGTTCGAATTTTCTGTAAAAACAAATACAATAGCAATCATTATTAATCCCACATAAAAACTACCATTCAAATGCCAGAACACTTACGAAGTCAACACCGATTGTACTGATGTAACTGTCAAGGTATGAATCATCCTGCAAAAGTATCACGAGAAAGTGAGCCACGGCCCCAGAGTCAGGTCATCATTTAGTGACACATGATTAATAACACAAGATATATGCCTAAAAGCTGCACTCATGACAATGGAATGAAAAAAGATGGAAGACAAAAAATGATAACACGCAACAGGTATTGCTTTCTATCCAGACCAAAAGATTTAAGTTATACGAAACTTACAGCAAATCTTAGGAGAAGACATGACTTTCCAACACCTGAGTCTCCAATTAAGAGAAGCTTAAACAAGTAGTCGCTGAAAACAAAAACATTATATGACAACTGAGAGACATTACATCATTCGAGATGGAAAAGAAAAAAATTCAGCTACATTCCCAAGTTGCTGTAAATAAGATTTTATAACTCTTCAGCTATGCTCTAGAAAAATGAAAAAATGTTCAAGTGAAACATCTTAAATAGTTACTATGTCCTTTGAATCCTTTAATCTATCATACCATGACTTGTAACCACATAGGTAGCACTTGTATGATGGAAGGACTATTAAGCTCAAAAATTCATACCGTGTGTGTAGCACTAATTTGTAAGAAACCAAATATAGGTAGCACTTGTAAGATACTAGGATAATCCCATTATTTCAAAATCACTGGGAGATTGATCTTATTACATTAATCATGGAATAATCAACTAAATTCCAACTTCAATACCCCATTAGTAAACTCTCAGTTCACTTTGCCAAAAATTCACCTGAGCTATTCGCTTAAACTCCTAACAATACTAAATTCTTAAACTTCAATTTCAATGCAGGCACAGTTCTCTGGCCCACCCAATTTAGTCCATATGATTAAGCTATCTATATATACTCAAGAAAAATAAAGATCACAAAATTCACCAAACTACCACTGGAAAGCATCAAACAAGCAAGAATTTTGTGATCTTTATATATTAATCCATATTCAACTTTAGTTTTGCAACCCATAGATCCTAAAGAAAAATGGAACTAAATTCTGTATAGAATCAATATGATACGTCACAGATCTCAAACCTATGAAATCAGACGAGTATATATGTATTAGAACTATAATAAATTTCACCATAATTAGCTTTTCGAAAGAAGAACCACACGGATCTAAAACACATCAGGAGCCAAAATTAAATTCTCTCACAGTAACGATTAACACCATAGTGGATCTATCAAATCGGAGCTCAAAAAGTTGAGAATTTATTCATTTCAAAACAAAAAGTCCCGTGGGAGTTAAGAAATTTACTATTCCGGATTCATGATTGGCGCGATAATCAGACGGCGAGCAGACGCGGATGTTTTCCTTCCAGCCGACGACGACCGCTCGTGATACCAAACCGGCGCTGGATGAGTTGACCGGATTGATGAATCGAGAAAAGGCTGAGAGGTTGGAGCTCGCAATGAATGTTGGAAAATAGAATCAAATAAATAATATCAAAGGTGTGGTGCAAATGCATTTGGCCTTTATTTATAGAGGGGGGCCGATAGTGGTCGGACAATTGGTGAAGACTTCGAAGAAAGAGCCCAATGTTTAGTCTATTTGAGCATGTGCATTTTGCGCATATATAAATAATATATTATAAATTATTTATATACATATAATATTAAAATTATAAATTATATAATAATATTATACTTCTAACACAGAATATTATAAATTATATTTATGTATATAATATTAAAATTATAAGTTAGATAATGACATTATATTTTAAAATTAGATCATTAGTTAAAATAAATAGTATATAATAATTTGATTACAGATAAGTCACTATATTTATTGCATAAAATATAATAAATAATGTATTTATTACAGATGATGAGATGAGTCACTATATTATACTTCAGGCCTTTGACCAGCAGCCCTGAAGATGAGCTGGTACTCTACTTATTTGTATGAACGGTGGCCATTAGCTCAGTATTGTTGAAAGAAGAGGAAGGTCGACAGAAATGAATCTACTATACTGGTCACATACTACAAGATGTAGAACAATGGTATTCTGAGGTCGAGAAGGCCGCACTAGCATTGTTACCGATGATTCGAAAATTGCAACCCTATTTTCTAACGCATAAAGTTATAGTTCATACCAACTACCCGCCGAAGAACACCCTGGACAAACATTTGGCTTCAGGAAGGATAGTTAAATGGGCAGTAGAGCTCGGAGAGTACAATTTTATTTATGCTCAGCTTTTCATGAGTGTTTTTGGCAACTTGAAATACATATTCTGCACTCTCTTTCATGAAATATTTATTTTCAAATGATCGGAAATGCTCTCCTACCCACGGTGGACACATGTTAATATGCCCACAGATTATGTGGCATGCACGCATTGGTGATGTTAATATATTAAAAAAAATACATCACCCATGTATGCTTGCCACATAAGCGATGGACATATTAGCATGTGTTGGTAGGGGAGCATTTCCCTTCAAATGATAGAGTTATTTATTTCGCCCTATTTTTTTCTCGACAATTTACAGCCCAATCCGATACACTCTAGAGCCCAAACGAAGTTTTTGAAATAGACGCACATAGCCCAATAGGCAAACACTCCATAACCAGAAGCTTCGCATCCGCTTCTCCTCGATTCCTTGCACGCCGGCAGAAAGAGGCGATACCTTGAAAAACACCAACAATGGCCGACGTAGAGGATAACGACGAGTTCTATCTGCGTTACTACGTAGGTCACAAGGGCAAATTCGGGCACGAATTCTTGGAATTCGAGTTCCGACCCGACGGCAAGCTCCGATATGCCAACAACTCCAACTACAAAAATGATACCATGATTCGCAAAGAGGTGTTCCTCACGCCCGCCGTCCTCAAGGAGTGTCGCCGCATCGTAGCCGATTCCGAGGTATCGTTATATTCTGGTTTCCCCAATTTTTATGACTGTTAGGGCTTTGTAATGGGAATCTATCAAGTAATTTCTTTTATTTTATCGGTGTAGATAATGAAGGAAGATGATAACAATTGGCCGGAGCCGGATCGCGTGGGGAGGCAGGAGCTTGAAATCGTGATGGGGAATGAGCATATTTCGTTCACCACTTCGAAGATTGGTTCTCTTATGGACGTTCAGTCTAGTAAAGACCCTGAGGGTTTAAGGATCTTTTACTATCTGGTTCAGGTATAATTTCTAGTTTTGATTTTCCTATGGATTTTTTTTTTTTTNACTTATCATTTATTTCTACATTAATTTTTATGCATGATTTTGGAAATTTCCCTTGGTTAATTAGGCTTCAAGCATGTATTATTGGGTTTTTTCTGGTATTATATATTAAGCTTATTCAAACCAGTATGTATTGTGTTAATATTTGACGTTCCTAGGTTATCTGAACCTTAATTTGCTGGAATGTACATTTGTCTTTAACCATTTAGCATGGCACTCATGATGGAGGAGATGGAATTATCAGCAGTTTTATGCCTTGTCCTTGACTTACTTTGATGATGTATTACTGTTGGGCCATCTATGAGATATTCTATCTGTCCATGTGATTTCTCGTGGGGAGCTGTGGTAAGATGCATGATTTGAACATGGGACTCTTAAAAGGCTGATTCTCCTAGAGAATGTAAGATTATGAGGTTATGTGTAATTGATTTCGGCTGCCCAAAAAATGAAAAAGTGGAGTATTAATATTATTTAGATTAAATTGGGGCTGACCGCTCACCGCTGACCTTATTGATCTTTTGTAAATTAACAAAATTATTAGAAAATAATAAGGACTTGCGGTGTTCATGTGGCTAACTTCTATTATTGTTTGTCAATTGTCATGAAGCAACGGTGTACGCTTTGTGGGAAGTGTATGGATGCATGTCAATCTCTTTCAGCTTGATACTTGGAAATTGTTTTGAAAATTTTACTGAAAACTTGCTTCCTATGTTGCTGCATCCAGCATGCCCAATTCAGTATAGCATATCTTTCACAATATGTATTAATTGATGAAAGGCTTGTGATTGCTGAGTGAGACCTTAATTCAAACATTTGTTAATAAAGAAATTGATATAGTTATCAGAACTGGTTTCCTACAGCTGATGGGGGAGAAAACATCTATTGGCAACTCTGCTTGTTGGTGAAGTAGAAATTTAATCTACTCTACATAGTTCACATAGGTCATACAGAATGAACCAATCTCCATTTCTTATAACAATAGAAACATGAAAGCCATCCTGTTCCCATAACTGATTATCATGTTAACATATAACAGATTGTGGTATTATTGGAAGCCAAACATACTCCCCATCAGTTATTCCTTACAAAGATGGACATAAATAAGTTGTGATCATGGACTCTCACCTTGACCAATTACGTGTGGTTACCATTTGTAGCTAGGAGAATCATTGTGTTATGCTCGAGTTAACTTGCTTGAACAATTCTGAAATATTTTTGTTTTTGCAGCAAACTTCCCCGCATTTCAGCTATTGTCATGCTTAGAATACATTTTAATTTATCGTTGTATTATAGTCTAGAATAGGCTGGTATTTGTAGTAATGTTCTTGTTATATAGGCAAAGTCAACATTTTCGCTGGGTCTCCGAGAATCAATATTGTTTACTTTACTGTTGCAGGATCTGAAATGTTTTGTCTTCTCGCTCATCTCATTGCACTTCAAGATCAAACCCATATGAAGACCAAGCCTATGAACTCTCAAGAATTCTTCTGCCTTTTAAGACTCCTCTCAACAGTGTGATTGAATCGGTCATAGGTTTTGTTTGAGTTGAGACAACTATATAGCTCCTTAAATAAGCTGTATTTCTTTTGTGACTGTTGGCTTCATTTGTTGTTGACAAATTGATCTATGAAGTTCTGGATTCAGAGTATGTTGCCATTGACCGGGTTATTTAGGGTTCCAACTATCTTGCTATCTCCCTCAAGTATTTTGATCTCGGAAATGTGATTTTCTGTTGTGATTCTCGTGCCAGTATATTGTTCTATGTTTAAATTGTTTTCTCACATATCATACATTTTATTTCCAAAACTCGTAATTTTTCAATAAAAATGAAGACATGTTACGACCTGCATATCCGTTTTGAGTCGGGCGTTTGCTTGCTGTGGGGATGTGGTCTAGTCATTTTTAATGTTAAAACGTGTCAAAAGTTGGTTGGATGCTTATAAGTAAATTTTTGTTGATATGATAAACGTGTTTGGTAAAAGTAGCTGGTAAGTCAACTTAAATAAAAATTTCAATTGATTTATTTGAAAAGTTACTCAAAAAAATTTATGAGATAAACTCGAAATTTTTAAAAAAATGTCCTACTAAATTAAACTTAGTTGTATACAATAAATTTATAAGCTAATCAAATAAATTAGTTTATGGTACGACCAAACAGTGGGTTTGGGACAGGAGGGACACTGGATTTGATAACATAATCTGTTCGAAAATAAAACCTTCAAATCTGTAAATAAGCAACACAATTTTGATTTTAGCATCGAAAATATTGTCACAAAGTCATAGCATTGGTCCAATGGAGTTGAATTAAGTCAATTTTTTTGAGGCTACTGAGCGTTCAACTCCCAGCCAACTTACCAACAAACTGACCTTTTTCTGCTAAATACCCTATCAATTGTCCAGAATTTGATCACGAAAACAAGAGGTTAGGTAATCTAATCATGAGCAACTACAATCAAATGTAGTAGAAAAGCGAAAAATGAAAATAAAATAAAAATCTATCAGCTTCCAAAATCTTTATAAGTGCCACCAGATCTCATCTTCCTACAGCTTAATTAACTTTGTCGGGAGAGATGGCAAAGCTTCTTCTAATACCCATAATCTCACTCGTACTCTGTTGTTATTCCCTCTCAACATGTTCGGCAACTGTCTACACTGTGGGAGACAACGGCGGCTGGGACATCAGCACCGACCTCGATTCTTGGAAACAAGGCAAGACATTTGCTGTCGGTGACACTTTACGTAAGTCAAGTTCTCCACAAGTTCATCTGATTTACTTTTTTTTTTTTTTAATTTTGTTTTTTAATACTTATTATAATTCGGCAGTGTTCCAATATTCCAAGTACCATTCAGTGAGCGAGGTTACAAAGGAAAACTACGAAGGGTGTAACACGGGCAACGTGCTACAAACGAGCAGCAACAGCAACACGTCTTTTGCCTTGACGAGGCCTGGGGATAGGTACTTTGTTTGCGGCAACAGGTTGCACTGTCTCGGGGGAATGAAACTTCACGTAAATGTTGTCGGGGATTGGGCTTTGTCGCCTTTTGGGCCGCCTGTTGGGCCACCCGAGGCCCAGCCCGGGGGTGTTCTCCCGACTGCTGGATCTTCTAGGACTAGTAATCCAACCAGCTCGTCTTTTGTCAACACGATTGGTGTGGATTGGGTATTAATCAAGGGGTTTGTGGCATCGTTGGCTTTGTTGTGGATCGTTTGAAGTCAGACTCGACACGTTGATGACTTGTTGATGTCTATTTGTTTGTGAAAATTGTTAACGATAGGGTTTATACTTTATACAATGACTTTGACAATTACAAATCAATTACCAATTTGCCCTCAAAATATTACTTAATAAATTCACCTTGTATTGTTTTGTAGAAGAGTACTTTATATTTAATTTAAAAAAGTCGTCTATCTTACTTAAGAACAAAAAATATAATTAAAATAATTGGTGTAGAAACAATAAAGTGTAGTACTTTAAAACACAATGTCTTCATTTTTAAGGTATGGAGATTATGAATTTATCATGATATTCCTCATTGTATAACTCATTGTACAATTTGATAGTACATGTAGCACTACTCTTGTTTTGTGGTATGTTTGGGATGTGATACAAGTTTTTTTTTTTTTTTTTAACAATAGTCTTTAAAAAATAAACACATATTTACAATCTAGAGAACAACTAGCAACAGTTGAATCAAAAAAAGTTGAATCTGAAGGGAGGATAACCCAAAAAGAAGCATACACTACCACAAATGCACCCACAATATTACAACACTCCCACTAATGAAGAATACGACTTCAAAAGGAGAATAAACTCCAAAAAATCACAACTGGAAAATATAAACCGAAAAAATAAAGCTCTCCTTCACAATCGCCAAATGAAAAATTAATGTGGCTTTTGTCAAAAGAGGTCAGGCACATACAACATGTTTAGTAAGAATACACCTTTTAGAAGACAAGACATATATCGAGTTTATAGGCTACAACTCTTATCACACTGAGGGTAACATCGGAATAAAGTCTTGTTGAAGATTGGCACGAAAGAAGTGGTACACAACCATTGCCGATGTCATAGGAGACAGGCGTCCGTATGGCTCTAGGGGATGCATAATGTCCATCAAATCTTTGGGAAGATGATAACGCTGCACTAATGACGTCAGCCTTTTTTTGTAGATTATTAAACGTTAATTGAGATCGACAAACAATAATAATTATCATCCTGATTTTATTGATATATATTCATGTATCAAGAAAATTCAATCATTTTCAATTATCGTCCTTATTCCTTAAACTGCCAAATTGTATGCACCCTAAACAATTGTGTGGTGACTAAATACTAATCTTTTATTTTATACTAAAAATAATAAATAAGAACCGCACTAAACTGCACAATTCGACTCAGTTATTTGCTTCAGTTCGTGCAAAATTGTATCAATCCAAGAAGATCGAAAATTGGAACTGGAGTTAAAAATAAAAATAATTGATGTAAGAAAATCAAATTAAAACCAAATAAAAAAAATACATACACTAACCCCAGCAAGTAACCCTCTCCGACTCGAGAGGAAAAAAAAAATGCTCCTCAAAAGCGCAGCCACCACCATAGCCACACCTTCCCTCTGCTCCTCCCTCTTCAAATCCCCCCTCTCTATCCCCAAACTACCCCTCCCCAACTGCTTCAGTTCCCCCCGTACCCTCACCTTCAGGCCCTCCACCCCGAGGATGAGCTGGCTCAGTCGGCTGGGATTTGGTGCCCGCTCCCCCACCGACCCATCCGTGGACTCGTCCTCTTCCTCGGCCATCGCCCAGGGACCCGACGACGACATACCCGCCCCGGGCCAGCAGTTCGCCCAATTCGGGGCCGGCTGCTTCTGGGGTGTCGAATTAGCCTTCCAGAGGGTGCCAGGTGTGACCCGGACCGAGGTCGGGTACACCCAAGGCCGTCTGCACGACCCGACGTACGAGGATGTGTGCTCGGGCACCACGAACCACTCGGAGGTGGTCCGGGTGCAGTACGACCCGAAAGAGTGCAGCTTTGATACCCTGCTTGATGTTTTCTGGACGAGGCATGACCCGACAACCCTCAATCGCCAGGTGGGTTACCTTTTATTGATTTTCTGTGGTTTGATTTATGCAATTAATTATGGGAACAGGGTCAGTTTCAGTTAGATGTTTGATTTTATGTGCCTTGTTAATTTGATGTTCTCAAGATTCGTTCTGTTGGATTGAATTGAAGGTATTTGTGCTGAATTGAAGGTTATTTGTTTGAATCATGGTTATTTGGTGGGTTTTATTTTCACAATATATTGTTTGGTTTACTTGGTTTTGAGTTGGGTTTGCAGAATGCTTATCAAATGATGGGTTTAGTTGTTTGTGACTTGATTGCTGTGGGTTTTGATTTTGTGATCTCTATGATTTTTTTTGTTGGGTTTGAGCAAATACGGAAACGATGTTATATGTAGTTTGGTGGATTGAATGAAGTTATCTGTGCTGAATTCAATGGTTATTGTTTGATTCGTGATTATTTGGTGGATATATTTTTACAATCACAAATTCTTCTTGTGTGAAGTAGCCTAACCGGGTCGTACTATTTGAACAAAAATGCATAGTTATTCAATCAATTGTCATACTTCTGTTTATGTTGTTTTTTTAAAGTTTGATCTTTTCTAATGAAAGTACAAACATTTATGAAAAGAGTATGTCGGTCTCTAATGGTTAGACCGACCTAATACAAGACCAACCGTTTTAATATGCCTTTGTTGGTTACTTGGTTTTGAGCTGGGTTTGCAGAATGCTTATCAAATTATGGGTTTATTGTTTGTGACTTGATTGCTGTGGGTTTTGACTTGTGACCTCTGATTTTTTGTTGGCATTTCTTGTGGATTTCAGTAAGTTAATTGTACTCAAACCATTAAAGTAGCATATCATACTTTTCTAGTTCCTTCAATGGACTAAAACATGTCTCATTCCTGAACTAGTTTTGGTTGGCTTTTGATTAAAGCAGTGACCTTGACTTCTTTGTTATGAAATAAGAACTTGTTTTGAGAATAATGAGCTGAGAGTTCTACTACTCAACTGCTAAAGTATCAGGGTTGAACAGTTTGGATTGAAATTACGAGATAATTTAGTACTAAAATGTTGAGATGTTGAAAATACCCGTTTTATAGTTTTCGACTCTTATCGCTGTAGTTAATAAAGGTACTGAAACCCTTAAACACAAGTTTGGTGCATTCACCATACTTGTGCTAGAAAGGTAATCATTATCAGTCACTTCATTGAACTAAAGGTTAATTCTGAGGCAAGCTTGTGCTGTAATAAAAATTGTAGGATTATATACAAAAACTACCCGTGAGGTTTAGTCCATTTTTTGAAAAAAAAAACAAAAACAAAAAGACCAATCTTTTTAAATTCCGAAACTTGTATCAAGTGTTTTTTTATCATTCTGTGTCTAAATGCAGGGGAATGACGTTGGAACTCAATACAGATCAGGAATTTACTTCTATACCCCTGAACAAGAGGAAGCAGCAATTGCTTCTAAGGAGAGGCAGCAAAAAGTCTTGAACAGGAAGATCGTGACCGAGATTCTTCCCGCCAAGAAATTCTACAGAGCCGAAGAGTATCATCAGCAGTACCTTGCAAAAGGAGGTAGGTTTGGTTTCAGACAGTCGACTGAGAAAGGTTGCAATGACCCGATTCGTTGCTATGGCTGAGGATGCGTAAAAGCAATAGCTTTATGATGATATCAATAATTTCTTGCTGTTGAAAAAGATACTGGATTGTTAATAGTTTGAAGTGTTGTAATTTTTCCTTGTAAATCAACTTTTGTGGTGAAAAATGTGTGTCTTCCTTGCGGCTTTTTCTGGACGAGTAATAATGTATACTTAAGACTTTCGGATTTGTTGAACTATTAGTTTGAGTTCTTTTAAATTTCCAGTTAAAGTTGCAAATGAATTGAACTGCCCTACTCATTTGAACTCATTTGAGTTCAAACAATGATTGCTCGTTTAATCATCAAGTTGAACTTGAACAAAAACTTAGGCTAAAGAAAATTCCATCTGTCTGCTGTCAGTACAAAATCATTTTATTTTTTTTCTAAAGTTTTCATGTCGTTTTTACCAAAAACCAATTATCAAAACTATGGATCGAAAAAACACGCTAGCCACAAGCTAAACTGCTAATTGTTGTTGATGAGCGGTAGATCCTTCCTCGTTGGCACAAAAATGGAGCTTATCTTTCGCGCCAAGATTTAGTTTTGGTGTAGATGGGACTGCATAAATGGGAGGAAGCTCGAGGAGAATCTCCCTTTGAAGATAACCAAAATAGTGATGAAATGTGGCAGTCGACACGTTCAGTTCGAAGCTCAGGCCGAACAAGAAATCTACTTCTAGAAGGTTCATCTCTGCTGTGCTTATGCCTCCAACTTTGGCATAGTAAGCATTGTTGTAGTATCTGTTAAAAAAAAATGGGCAAAAATATAGTGTGTTGAGCCAAGAACAAAGAATATATGTTGGATTATAGTGGTTATTACTTATTACTATT